CAGACAGAAGCTAAAGTTCTGCTCCTCCAAACTCTGATGAGCAGCTCCATCAGCTGGAAGCTTCCAGAAGAGCTCTCAGGCTGCAGCTCTACTGGGGGGTCCTGTTTTAAAGCAGAGCCTAAAGGAAGCAGCCCCCCCCCCCACCCCCTCTGAGAAACCAGTCTGGTTCAGGAAGCAGTGAAAGTAAAGATATGGAGGGCAAACTTTAAAAAGTTTTAAATACAGCATAAAAACTGCATTCACGTTAGTTTCGCTGACTTTTTTTTTTACCTTGTCCTGTTCAGCATTCTGGCAGCAGAACTGAAATCTGAGTACCGGCTATGAACAAAATAGCTTTTCCAAGGGAGGCTTTGTTAGTAAGAAGCCCCCCTCTATTACTCAAAACTGCTTTATTTATTCATTTTTGTTACCAAACATCCGTGTCCAATAATGCTGAACCTGACAGAGGGAAGAGAGAAGAGCAGTGAAAAGGAGAGAGATCCTTGACAGAAAGAGAAAGGGAAAAGGAAAGAAAGAATGAAAGACAACAAGACCATACAACCAGCTGCTATGTCTGTAAAAAGGACGCTGTTCCTTGTGGGCAATCCAGGTGTTTTTTTGTTTTTTTTTAAACCTCGTTCACGTGACAGTAGCCATTAAAATAATTTCCCAAATACAAAAATGTTGCAATAAACATACATTATCGTAATTGCTTCATGGCAATATAGCCATTAACCGAAAAATAGTGAAATGAATCTTGCAAACACTGAATTTTATGTTAAAATAGTGTGTGTTAACCCTTATATTATGTTACAGGTCAATTTGACCCATTCCAGTTTTTGTGTGGATCAAAGTGCTGGTTATCCTTTTTTTTATTCATGAAATTTGGTGACTTTTCCTCATCTGGGGTCATGAACTGCAAAGCCTTTTCTGCTGGCCTAAGAAAATAGGCCAGCATCATGTAAAGCAAACATGACCACCACGTTTTTTCTGATCGACCTTAATTTGAAAAGAGAAATACCCAGCTCCTATTCATACCGAATAAACCAATAGAACCGGAAGAGTGAACATCTTGACTGAATGTACAGACAGTGTAAACGTCTCCCACAACTCAGGCGTGGATCATTTGAGTGGCAGGACACGGTTCAGGAGGAACCAGGCACCGACCCCCCGGTACCGTCTGAGGCCTCTCCCACACACCAAGCAGGCCGGCGGGCGGCCCTGGAGCCACGGCCCGGCCTTCTGCCGAGGAAGGCGCCCCCTGGCGGGGACTCGCGTCACTGCACCTGCCGCTGAGCGACCAGAGGACGGCGAGTCAACTCATAAAAACGTCCATTATTTAATTGTGTTACTTATCTATGAATGCCCCGCCTAGGTGGAGTTTTATGGAGGATTGATAAAAAAACAAAAACACACGGTTTTAACACATTTATCTAAACACGGCGGAGGAGAATGTTTTACAGGCACACAGTCTGATGAAAACGTTCCCGCGACAGGGGGGGCAAGTCTCCGCAGGCATGCCTTTCTCTGCATAACACCGGTAGCTGAAACGACTAGACTCATTTAGCTTTTGTTTTCTTTCCGAAAACGGTACAGTCAAACTTTTTCGTGACGCATTAACGACTCACAGGTCGTCTGTCAGGCATTTTAACGTCTTCCGGGGCTGGCTGGATTTATTTCCCGGGCTCCCGGAAAAGCTGCGATGGCCGAGTGGTTAAGGCGTTGGACTTGAAATCCAATGGGATCTTCCCGCGCAGGTTCGAACCCTGCTCGCAGCGTTTGTGAGAATTTCATTTTCGATTTGTGATTTACCAGATATAATTGTTTTTATTTATATAAATTAAAGCTCATTTGATCCCATAAACTACTAAAATCCTTTATTCCCTACTGGTCATATGCCCCTTTAATACTGGCAGATCACAGCATACAAAAATGTGAACCGGTCCTCATGGTGTATATATGCACAGCCACAAAAACATGCTCACTAAACAGGCAAAATTGGAATCCAAAAGGAAGTCAAAGAACTATTTAAAGCAGGGTTTTGGTCAGATAAAATGGACAGTTTGAACTACTAGCTGTGAGTAAAAGAACAAATTATATAGTCAGATTTGAAGGCTTGTCAAAACCAATTTCTGTAGTTGTAATAAACAGAAGATAAACACTTTTTACACTACAGTTTCTCATGGACTACAGGGCCATCTTCTGGCTAATTTATGCATTCATGTTTGTTTCATGGTGGCACATTGGTAATGGTATTTTAAAACTCCCGAGTCTTATTACAGATTCTGTGAAACAGCAACCGTGTAGCAGTGGAACAAATAACTTTTTCAAAATCATTGTGGTACTGTAAATACTTCCAATACTGTCAGAGTATCACACTGCTAGAGCAAGAACCATCTCATGATAAATACCCTGTGTGTTATTTGGCATGACAAGTTTTTCCATATCCCTTGTTAGACTTCACAGACTTTCCAACATTTATCATTCTTCTAAAAATAGGAACACATATTTTCTCTAGTGTGTAATAATTGTTTCTCATGACTAATTTCCTGTTGCTTATCATCCCAAACACCAGAGTTTTTCCAGTTTCCTTTCTCCTACCGTGTTCTTTCTGTTATGGAAATGCTCAGTGTCATGTCTTGAGTTTATGTCGGGATTAATAAAGTTTCCTGTCTGTCTGTCTGTCTGTCTGTCTGTCTGTCTGTCTGTCTGTCTGTCTGTCTGTCTGTCTGTCTGTCTGTCTGTCTGTCTGTCTGTCTGTCTGTCTGTCTGTGTCTGTGTCTGTCTGTGTCTGTGTGTGTGTGTGTGTGTGTTATGTTATTTCCATGTTTGCGTGGGTTCTTTTGGGCTACTCCAGGACCTCCCACTATACAAAAACGGGCACGTCAGGTTAATTGATTAACTATGTGGACAGAACAAAAGCTGAATACCAGTTGTACCTTTAGAAAGTGAAAAGGTACCAGAAGAGACAGGATCAGACTCAGAAGGCTGCACGTCTGGACGGTGTCAGCTTTAAAGTTCTAAAGACTTGTGTGAAACTGTAGTGTGGGACTCTAGACCCTCGACAGCATTATCTTGAGTCAGAATACAGATCTGACTGAATGTGTCCGTAAGCTGGCATATTATCTCCCAGGTTTCTGTCGGTATCAGTTCAGGTTCCTACTTCTTGTTTAAATAGTTTCATCCTGTGGTCTTTTCTGGTTTTGACTGTTAAATAATGTTATGTTGCCTTGAAACCACTTTATTATGAGGATAAGCATTTTTAGTGCAATTTAAACTATTTAATACACTGTCTCTTCTCTCCCAGAGTCTCAGTCCTCTTATGTTGACACAGATGGCTTCTCACACCCGCTCTCATCCCCTTCAAATAAAACAGCAGTGGGCTGTAGATGAGACAAGTCAGAGCAGACTGTATTTTAATGGAACTCAAAGGAACATTTTATCAAGGAAGATTTGAGCTTGAAGCGGCCTAAAGGGTTGGAGGGCAGGCCAGCCTGTGTGGGCCCCCCACAGGGGGCGGAGGCCCCTCTCCCTGTGGATTTGGAAGAAGTGTGCTCATTCCCGTCCTCTGTCCTGTTTACCACAGGATTGGTGAGTAATGTCAAAAGCTATTACCAAATTTGGTGCTTCCATGTGTCATCACCTGGAGTGAGAGTGACAGGATGACTGTGAGATAAACTCATGGTGAAGCTCTGGGATGTGAAGAGAAGGGGATGTGCTGGGGGGGTCACTGGTGGGGGAACGCGCTGCTCCCGTACTGGAGCAGGTGGGGCAATGCCTCGGACATTAGAAAGATGGCATTTGAATCAAAATGCTTACACTGAGTGTCTCAGATGTTTAAATTGATTGCGTGAAATCAGTGTGCGCATATGCTTTTGATGAGGATTGATTTAGTCAACTGAATTGTGGCTTTCTAAAAATAAAAGCGAGTTGTCTGGAAAACACAGGATCTTCGTCGTCTTGCTGCTAATGCGGAGGGTTATTGTGTTGAGTGATTGCCTTTTACTGTCAAACACCGTACAGAGGAATGAACCTGTGGATGGGACCAGCTCTGTGCCACTGGGTGATAAAGCAGAGGGCTGCTGAACGTCACCACCATCCGTTTGTAGAAAGCCTTGTTTGCATGTGAAGGAGAATGAGATTTACGGTATCTGTACGGTATCTGCTGACTGTGGCCGTGGGATTTCTATGGCTCACATTGCAAGCAACAAAACTTCTACAAAGTATTTTGAGATGGAGGCTTGGTTGGTCTATTGAAGAGCTCCTGGGGGAATCCGTCTCTGAAATGAAGCCGGCATCCCAGCTAGAGCCCAGGGAAAGATCTGTGTTGGACTAGAAAAAGAACAGAAAAACAGTGTTCTTCCCGACAAAGTGAACTATAAAAAGAGTCCACCCATATGAGTGTTTTTTTCCTCAAGGGGGAAGCAGGGAATGCTGGGATGACAGCCGGGACAGTTATGGCTTTTCACCCAGAAAGTTTCCGCTCCATTCCTGTGACGGGGACAGAGGAATGTTCAGAGGTTTGAAAGGGAAAAGAGTTAGCTGACGCTCCATATGCTCCATCATGCTTTAGTCAGCACGGGCAGACTGAAGGGAGGGGGGGGGGGGGGGGCCAGAGCTCATACGGCTTCAGGAGAAGTCGGTCCAGACACTGTCAGATGACATCATCATCACTAATGACTTGTGGATGTGTGTCTGAGCGTGCGAGTGCGTGCGTAGGATGGGGGCCGGACTGACCGTACAAAAGGACCAACTCTTCTCAGTCCCTCAGAGTCAAGAATCTGCAGGAAGGAGGACAAAGTGATACAGCAGAGACCAACTCGTCTTCATCAGAAACATCTATCCCAAGGTAAGAACTGCCATCTCACCTCCATTTACAGCTTTTCCCCTCATACCAAGAGGCCTAACATTAATGTCTCACTTTCACTTCAGTTGTAAGACTACAGTACTGGTACAGAGAAGAGCAGCATGGTGGTGTGCTATGATGTGTGCTGAAGGTTTTAGAGCTAGTTTTATGATGCATGCTGAGCTCTGGGCCTCTGGGCCACAGAAGCCTGCTCTGCCTCACTAAACACGCCGAGGCCATCAGGCCGTCCCGTCCGTCCAGGACCTGGCCTGCAGGGCCTGATCTGACCGTCAGACAGGTCCCCACAGGAGCTCTGGGATGGGAGACGGGGACTCTGGTTAACTGTTTAAAAAATGATCTAGCTCTTTTCTGCTGTTTTTTTCTTATCCACTCATTGTTGATCACTTAAAATGAGACGTGAAGAAATGCTGAATAAGAATGCAAGACGCTTCTCAGCCAGTTACCATGACAACTGGTGGGTTTGGAATACTGTGGGCTGTGATTCACTACTAAACAATGTACCAGCCACAAACGGCATATAAAGTAGCTCAAAATAACAAAACACAAAGCAGCTTACAAAAATGAAGAGAAGGAGCTCCAGGTTGTTTCACTTTAAGAATGTTTGTTGAAGCGGGCGTTTGTTGTATCTGTTAGTCTGGCATTTTAGACATTTCTGTGGGTACACATTGTTCAAGCTGTAGCTAACCACAGAGTTCCCGGTGAAGCTATGGGCGCGGAGTATGATCTATCCACTACTGGCATCAAAATGATAAGTCCTCAAATATAACAGTTTCACTTAACATGTGCTGTTACTACTGCTCTTCATTTCAAACAGAGGAGTAAAAAAAGAAAAAAACTAAACACGTCAGTTCAGTTACTGGCAGACAATAAAAGCATCTCAAGAGGCGTTTGCAGACTTTTGTGTCCGTATAGGCAGTAGAGAGACGTTTGTCATTGATCACCCCTTGATACCATCTTCAGATTGGTCTAAAAAACAAACATGGTCTTCTCTACCTGACATTTCACAGTTCTAGTCAGTTCTAGTGTTTTAATAGCCGTCCCAGCATGAACTGACTCACCTCATCAGTGGATACAGTTGCGTCAGAAGTAACAGTCACTCCTCTATCAGGAGCTTTCCACTTTGACGTGTTCCTGTTAGCGCACAAAGAGCTCCACTCTGCAGCCCGCCGCTCAGGGGTGGAGGAGAGCAGCAGACTCATCTCAACACTCCATCCGCTCAGACTCATGTTGTTCACTACATGCTAACTACAACTAGCACCGATTGTGGACCCCAGCACTGGGTGCTGTACTCAGTTTTATGGTGGCTCAGAGTGAACATTCATCATCAGACCTGTTTCAGAGAGTGGAGTGGGGTACCATCCAAGTGGAAGACTGGGTTGGAAAAGTCTGGATGTGATCACATGCTGGGTTTGCTGGCTGTTTTTCTCTGCTGTTACCACAAGTTTAAAACATACAGAAGCACAATCTGTTTCCCATGACCTTCAGTTTCCGAGAACCACGGTGTTTAGTCTTACCACGCCACTTCTCTCAATCCGTCCTGTAGATGAGACAATAACAGGGAGAACCGACTCTGGGGGTGTTTGTGCGATGTCAAGCACCTGGCTCACAGACTGACCTGCTCCTCACTAAAAAGCAGCCCCAGCTTCACTGCAGGGCGCCTGTAGGTGTGCTCACCGGGCAGAGTTCTGTTTGAACAACGCTGTTATTTCTAGTCCCTTCAGCAAAAGATTGTGTCGTATTGTGGAAATGAAAAGGTACAGAGTTTCTTGGAGAGGTGGATAAAGAGGGACATGTGTGACTCACAGTTGTCAAACCTTTCTCAGGTTTTATAGAAATACATTTGGCTTCCAGTGGAAGCCTCCTCAGGCTGGCTGTGCTCAGGTGGACGGGGTCTGGGACAAAGAGGTGTTTCTCTATATGGTGTTGTTAGTTAAATGATTGTGATAGTTTAGAGACTATTTTATTTCTGCTTCTTTTTAACAAGAAGCTGAAAAAGTGGCTCAATTACAGAAGAGTGGGGAGGGTGTAATATTTATATTCTCATGGCTGACACATTCTACAGGCGGGTGCAAAGAAGGATCAGAGCAGAGTTAACAGGCCCGGTGTTCTTTCAGGTCAGAGCGATTTCTATGAAGGACTTTGCTTTTGGACTTTCTTGTAGTTGGTTTTGTGCACGGTGAGTGTGAATGTTAACCAGAGTGTCTTTCCTCCCCCAGCATGCTTTGTGTGTACATTTCCCTGGTGCTGACGCTGAGCAGAGTGGGACTGAGCTCTCTGCAGGATAAGCAGACGGACTTTGGTCTGAGGGTCTTCGCCCAGTTGACCAAGAGCTCTGCAGAGAGAAGCCTGGCCTTCTCCCCATATGGAGTGGCCTCTGTCCTGGCCATGGCGCAGCTGGGTGCAGATGGAAGCACTTACCAGGCCTTAACTAATGCTATGGGCTTTTCTCTGAAAGGTGAGTAGCTCGTATATTATGTATAGAATTGTTAAAGCTACAAAGTAAGTAGAACTGAGTCTCAATGGGCAGCCCTGTTAATCTCACTTCAGTCCTGTTTCTCACAGCTTCCATTTGAAGACCAATTAGGGACTCCTCTGTTGACCTCATTTACATGGTGCAGCCTACATTAAATCGGTCTGCAGTTAGCTTAAAAAGCCTCCTTAGAAATAACCCTCTGGGAATGTCTGATACAGTTATCACACACTCTATTATTGTGTCCTTGGGAACAATCATCCACCCTAAAACACTCCGGCAAGGGAGTGCATCAAAGCCAACAGTAAGCAGAGAACAGACAAGATGACATGCAAATGCACACAGGTCGTACCAAGACTGCAGAGAACACAATGAAACTGTTACCATGGTGAGGCTAGATGTTCAAAGATATCATCTTTTCTCAGTGAACAAGGGAATACATGTCCCAGAGGTCCTGTTTGTTCACACATGATAAACATGGCTGTACCAATGGGAGAGGGAAGGGAGATTCCAGCGGAGGTGACTAATGCTGCGGCTGTGAGCAGCAGGACCGTGAGCACACGGCTAACTCTCTGCTCTCTGGCAGAGCGGGGCATGCCCCAGCAGCAGAGGCTGCTGCAGCGCAGCCTGGCCCGGGAGGAGGGCCTGGACATAGCCAGCGGGGTGATGGTGGAGAGGAAGATGAGTCTGGAGAAGGGATACCGTCGGGCCCTGGCCAAGACCTTCCGAAGCCATCCGCACCAGGTGGATTTCACCAACCCGGACCAGGCTGTTGACATTATCAACGCATGGGTGTCGGACCACACCTCAGGTACTGACATCCACACAACCTCCCCGGCTCCGTCTGAAGCTGCTGCTCTCCCTGTGTGCTAGCTGGAGGATCCAAATGCAGCAGACTCTCAGAGGAAAATGTCAATTACTGTGTTAAAACCCTGGTAAAACTTGTGAGTGAGTGCCAACCAACTGTAGTTAAGGAAAAGCAGGCCTGAAACAGAACGATAGGGATCTAAAATAGTGGAAAACATTTAAAATTAAGTCAGGATTCATATGAATGAAAGACTGAACAACATGGCCATAACACAGTACAAAAGAATGAAACAGGAAGCTGGATAAAAAGCACTGACTAACAATGCTTTCTTTCCGTCGGCAGGTGCTATCCCTGAGTTCTTGGCATCCGGATCTCTGAGTGATGAGACTCGGCTGGTCATTCTTAATGCTCTCCACTTCCAGCACCTATGGAAGGTTCCCTTTGACCCCAAACTCACACAGGAGAGGCTGTTCCATTGTGCCAATGGCAGCACTGTGCCTGTGCACATGATGAGACTCACTAACCGCTTCAACTATGGTGAGCTCTATGAACCTCTACCGCTGGGTCTGAAAGGAGCCCTCATAACTCATAACTTATTCACAAGGAAAACACCTGCCTTTCTTTATGATTCCCAGGTGAATTTGTGACCCCTGATGGAGTGGACTATGATGTGATAGAGGTGCCGTATGAGGGGGATTCAATGAGCATGCTGTTGGTGTCCCCCTTTGAGCCGGAGGTTCCACTGAGCGCCCTCAGTGCAGACCTCAGCAGCCTGAGGATCCAGCAGTGGAGGTCAGAGATGAAGAACGCCAAGAGACAACTGGCCATGCCGAGGTGAGGAGGAAAGGCTTGGCCTGGGAAGGGTTGATTGTTTCTACGGGTTGTTATGCTGGGTGTCAGATGGAAGTGGAAGATGTGTGGGTGTTTTGTCAGGTTTTCTCTGAGCTCTGAGGTGAATTTGAAGACTGCTCTGCGTGACATGGGGCTGGGACACATCTTCAACCTGGCTACTGCTGACTTCACACGCATAACCTGTGAGTTAACCTGAAAAAAAGCAGCGTGCTTAGTGCACGGGCAGGGTTTCCTCATCCCCTAACCTGCATGTGCTTCTGCCCCCAGCGGACGAGAGGCTCTGTGTGTCAAAGGTCCTGCAGAGGGTGAAGATTGAGGTGAATGAACAGGGAACCAAAGGAGCAGCAGCAACAGGTACCCCCCCCCACACACACACAGTTATTACCCATGACATTGGCTGACCACGGTAACACAAAACACACTCAGCCGTTGCCGAGCTGCCCGTAAAGGTGCTTTCTCTTCTCTTACCCTCAGCTGCCATCATGTTCTCCAGAATGGCCGTTGAAGAGATCACTCTGGACAGACCGTTCCTCTTCCTCATTCAGCACAAGCATACTGGTAACACTCCAACCTTTTCAACCGATTCCCATTCACACACCTGCCATACAGGTAAACATTGTTTTCTCGACTTGTGTCCAGGTACCATCCTGTTCATGGGTCAGTTCAACCAACCTCAATAACTGGAAGTGAGAAGCCTTGCATCATCTCACTGTGTGTGACTACTGCTGCTCAGACCCCCCCATGACCGCCAGGCACATCATCACAAGACCTGCTCAACTCAAATGTGTTCCACACTGAAAAGACCGAATCAGAGAAAGTTCCATTCAGAAGGACTTCAGCTCAATTTGTGTCAGCACTGTCTGAGACTTCTTTCTTTTTTAACATATTCGCTGTTAATTTCTTTCCCTAAATATTTGTCTTGTTTAAAACAAAAGACACCGATACACCTCTTGGAGATATTTTGTGCCTGACAGACTCCTTCCTCTAGTCATAAAAAAGGATATTTTATTATCCATTCTTGCAGGTTGTTAATGGAGCTGTGTGTTTTTGTCAGTTGTGTTGTTGTTACAAAGCTATATTTGTATTTTTGCTATATTTTTATTTATTAAAGTTAAATGATTTTACAGATTCCAGGCCTGCTCATATTTCATTGTGTATCCATATTCACCTGACCTGTAATGTGTATGAAGAATTATGTGAAGATCAGAGGATTTACATTTAGTTATCCAAACAACTTGTGTCCTTATATTCCCTGTTTAGTCGTGCAGTTTAGTTTTTAATAATCTCTCATAATCTTAGGATCTCATATTAAGATGTACTGCATAAATAGTGGTATATGAAAGGATCAGAATTATTAGGGATGATAAAGTTAAAATTGATGGATGGATGGATGGATGGATGGATGGATGGATGGATGGATGGAT